TAAACATTAATTATAATGTATTTAAAAAAAAGTATTCAAACTTTTAAATCTCAATGGAAAAACTAAGAAATGCTATTCAATCATCAATCATTAATCTAATATTACATATTATTATCTATCTAATTTAACTCATTGTTTACTGAATTTTTAAAAAGAAAGTTATTTTTTTACAATTAAACATGATGCATGTAAAAAGAAAAAAGATTTAATTTCTAAATCCTATTAGAAAAACTAATATCTATATTATTTCTTAAAGATATTCAATCAACCATCTGATACTACATTTATCTAACCTAACATTATTTTCTGTACAAATTTCTTGATCAATTTAAAATACAGTTATTCTACTTACAATTAAATATTAAAATTAAATGTAAAAATAAAAAAATTTTTCAAAAACCTCTAAATCCCAGGAGAAAAACACGCATCTACGTTATTTCTTGAAAGTATCCAATCGTTCATCTGGCGTCATTGAAGTTTAGAATTTTCACATCCACCATAGCGATCGTTTCCAATAGAGACGCTCCTTCAGTAACAAGTTGCTCACGATGCTGGTTCGATGAGTCATCTCGCGAGCAGAAAGATCACAGGATAACGCGTTATCGTAAAGGTCGTCGGCCAGATCGATGTTATCATCGAACTAATCAGCGTACAAACAACCGTTCAACGAAACGAATAAACTGGCAAAAGTCATGGCGCAATAGTTGCTTCTTGAATTGTACAAGGCGTCATCCGACCAATAGTAGGCGAGCATTCTCGATACCAGCGCCATGAAATAGTTAATTTCAAAATGAAATCAAACATGGTGAAACAAACTGGTGTCCAATCGAAGTATCATCGTGGCCGGTTGACCCGAAATACGCGCTCAAAATAATCACCATCATTAGTTTCTTCGCGCGATCATCATTTACTCGAGATTGCTATCAGTGTACAGTGGAATCGATCTTTCATACTGAACATCTTTCTTGCACCGAATGATATTTCCTTATCCTTCGGCCATTTGTATTTATTAGCTGAGATACGTAGTTATATATGTATGTGTGAATGTGTGTGTGTTCTGTAAAAAATGGAATGTTGAATATAATGAGGATCATCCTGTGACATTTCTTGGAAATTGGATGGAAGTTCATCTTGAGAATTGGAAATTGAACATAAACTTCATGAAATTATTGAAATTGAACAAGGTACGTAGTTATAGATTAGATTTGATTGTCATTGCTAAACCGACCATAACCTTTTCAATTTAATCCCAATCGTTATTAACAAATCTATTATTCATCATTATTTTATTTAAAAACTTTGATTATTGAAACATTTTCTTTATCTCTTTTATCAAAGTAAAGTAAAATCTTATTCCAAGTTTTATCAAAAATAACATATTTAAAAAGATCAATGGAAAACAGACATGTTGCATATCTTTATCTCAATTTTAAAAAGAAGCACATTAATAGAAATATTTTCATAAAAAATGTAATACAAGATACATATATACATACATACATAATAAATGACAATAATAAATGACAAGCGTTATCAAATATCAAGCTACAAAATTCACCTCTCTAAACTGAATAATATCAAAAAGAAAACCAAAATTGACACACATATTGCGCATATCTATTTTCCGTTGGATCTCTCGACAATTCATACTTCTCGTACTTTCTTCAACGACTCTTTCTACGAGATCGCAACGTCTATCGACAGAAACATCCACTTATCGTTCTCCCTTTATCGTTCGTTCCTCGAGAGGCCCCGACACCGCGATTCGCCTTAATCGGAAGCGGGATCTCGTGGTATCGACTCTCGGATTTTTTTCCCTCTCGGTTGAACCGAACGACTCGTCGTGGCCGATGTCATTATCCTAGGAGTATAGATAATGGCGGCTGGTCCGCGCGAATGCATGGATCGGCAGGCGAGGCATGCAGGGGCCTGGAGCCGCATTATCGCGGGATTACGTAAGCGCGGCATACGGTACGCTTGTGTGTTACGCTATAATTAGGACCGGGCTGGCATAACCGCGAGCCGCCGCCGCCAAGCGCAAATACGCCTGTGTAATCCGCGTCCGTATTAATGACCGACGATAAACCTTAACGGGGGATGGATCCTCGGAGGCACGAACAAAAACAACCGAGGCACGTTCGATATATAGCGATGGAAAGAGAAAGAGAGAGAGAGAAAGAGTGGCGGCGACGGTGAAAGGATACACTTCTGATGGGATACACGTCATAGTGGGTATATAAATGTAGCGATATAAGCTGGTTATTTTTTTTTTTTTTTTTTTT